AATGGAAGCCCAGGAAACAGGAGCGTGACGGGGTGAAGAGTCACAGAGTAAGAGAGACTGTTATTCATGGTGAAGGAGCCTCTCGTATTGTCATATGCCACAGAAAAAGGAGGTTTAAAATCTTGGAAACCAGTTGTGCTCTTGACAGATGTGGACAGCTGGAATTCCATAATGTTTGCCTGTTTGTGCGGTTTTCCCTTCTACAGTTGTCCAAAGGATGTTTAGAATTAGATGTACTTAACTGAATCACTGAGTAATACTTGTGGTCGGCTGCTTCAGTGTTTTTAAAAAGTGGAAAGCCATACCTGGAAGCTAGTAGTCTATTCAGTCTATGGAGGCAGCTGCTTGGGATCTTTCTATTTATTTAAAAAACAAAATACTTTTTGCTAACGTCTGATTTACTTTATGTAAGTTGAAATTTAATCTTCCATTTGTTTGTCTTTGAACTTTTTAAAGGTACCAGACTACTATGATATCATCAAAAAACCTATTGCCTTAAATATCATCCGTGAAAAAGTGAATAAATGTGAATACAAACTAGCATGTAAGTATTAATTACTGAAGAAGGCAATGAACACTGTTGTCTTATCACTTTAAAATATTTTCTTATCTGGAAATAGAGTTGTGTCAGAGGATTAGGAGGCTGTAATTGTGTTTTTGAAAGAATGCTTAGGTTTTTCTTAAGTAGGTTTTGTTGAATATAATTCTTGTACTACCAAAACAAGTGATGTGCAGAGAAGAAACGAGCAGCTGAGAAACTGCAGGTAATTTCTGCAGCCTTTTCTGTCAGTGGATCGCCTTGACCAAATATTTGAGATGGGATCAGTTGCATTTGTGTGATCTGTTATTTCCACGCACTCACCTATTTGCTTTTCCCTTGCCAGCGGAATTCATCGAAGACGTTGAGCTGATGTTTTCCAACTGCTTTGAGTACAACCCTCGTAACACGAGCGAAGCCAAAGCTGGAACCCGGCTCCAGGCTTTCTTCCACATCCAGGCTCAGAAGCTGGGCCTGCCCGTCGCGTCCGGCACCGTGGACCACGGCGCTCCCCCTGCCAAGAAGTCGCGGATCTGACCTCTGCCTTCCAAAGGATTTTCTGAGGGAATCTTGTATGTTCATTAAAATGAAATGTTAAATCATGCAGTCATCATACCTGTATAAAGCAATAACAGCTGTTTAACCACCTTGAAGTGTGGCCTGCACTATATTCTCAATGTAATATTAAGCACTCAGGAGAATGTAGGAAAGATTACCTTTGCTACAGTTTTATTCAGTGTCTAATTATTTTGATAGATGTACTGGATACAGTACTGGTTTACAGAGGTTTTGTACATTTTTAATACATTCATGTGTCCAGATATCTTCCGGTGATATGCTGTTTCCTGCACCAAATGACCTTGTTTCGTTCTCTAGATTTTCTAGGAGCTGTGGTATTGAGGGCTTTATCAACTCAGATAAAATCTTCTGCTGTAGCACAGTTGAAGAAACTGTGTGTGTGTTTAAAACTCTTTGCAGCCTGTCTTTACAACACTACACATGAATGAGTACAATTGCATATCCTTTAAGTACTGTACCAGTGCTGGCTGGAAGCATTCAGTCTGAGTTTATTAAGTAGATATTTATTTAGCATTCAAAGTAATTTGTGAATTTGTTTTGTATTTATAAAATTTGTACTTGGGGATTAAAAACAAAAACAAAAAAAAAGAGAGTTCCATAACTTTTTTAATTTTTTCCTGTGTTTTTGTTTATTCCTCTCTAACTTCTTGATGATCAATCAATAAATACCTTCCCCTCTCCCTGGCAGTTCTTCTAGCAATGAGTAATTTACAGGACTGTATTATAAGTTTCTATGTACAACTTTCTAAGTGTACAAATAAAATGACACATTTTTCAAAGTATGTTGAGCTTCTGAAATTTACTTACAAACTGCCATTCTGCCACCTCTCCTGTTATCCTAGTGGAGAAGCTGCTAAAAACCGTACGAGGTTTGGCTTCAACCAGCATTTTCAGCAGTTGCAGCCACGAGCTTGTCTCACTGTCTTACCTGGTCTCCAACTAACTGATGCGTAAGTTCATCCATGTCTCTGAGTTTTATACTTTTTATTTTAGTTAGGATATTCTAACATTGCAATACCTTATAGCTTTGTTTGGAGGGTAGGAAGAACCTGCAAGGCGAGGGTTTTGCTGCAGATATTTCCTGTTCTGTGCCAGGTTCTGCTGCA